AGTGAAAAGTGCTTGGAGATAGAGGGGAGATAAGGGAAGCCTGAGCTGTCCATAGCTTTCCAGCCTGGGGTGTTGGGAACTAGGTAAAAAGGCTTCTGTTTCAAGCAAAGCCTGTTGGACAAGCACTGTTTTTCCCCCACTCCCCAGGCTGCTTTAGTATTGTTCAGCAAATGTCATAGAAGTTTGCTTTCAGTAGTGGTGCTGATCCCTCTGCAAGAAATTCCAGTGTGTCCATTTATTTCCTGTGGCTATTTATACTGGAAGTGCTGATCATTAACACAATGCAATGTAGCAGTGTAGTTCATGTAGTTCTAGTGGTTCATGTAGCAGTGCTTCATAGCTGTGACATCTGCAGCAAGATACTGCCTGAACAGTGATCCTCATGCTTAATTCTCAGCATACTAGAGGCACATTATAGACTTCAGCTAATAAGGCTAAGATACTATGGCATGGTCAAGTCCAGACTGTAGTGCCTCTTCTGATGGGATGTTTCCAGGATGACTTTACCCATCAGCAGCATGATATGGGCCTTCCTACGTTCCAGAGAAATAGGAGCCGTTTGTCCTCTTCTAATCATACTCTGAATTTTAGTCACAGAGGAAAGATGTGTTAAAGTCAAGCTCAGCTAGGTCATTCCGTTCTTCTAGGAAATATTTATTATCACAGGAGAAGGAAGTATGATGTGAATGATATTTCACCATTGAGACTCACAGAAAAGATCAGATGGAGTGGGCTTGCCTCTGAAACTTTACTTTTGTCGAAGTCATTGTGCTCAAGTGAAAACCTGCCATTCTGTTCAGCGGAAGTTCATCAAGCTGTTGAGCCAGAATGGGCACTTCCAAGGGACCCAGGGGGCGATGTCTGGGCTGATGGTTCTGAGGCTTCTTCTGTAAGGCCGGCTGGGAGGAGATAGACATAGAGGAGACAAGTTGAGATGAAGTCAGGATGAGTAATTATCATTTTGTTTGCTTTTGTGAAGAGTGAACTTCTTTTATCCAACAGCACAGCTGAAATTACATAAAATTTTTCCTGCTTTCACTGCTTCTCTGATTTCTTCTTCTCTGAGTATCAGCAAAGCCAGAATTTTTGCAGTGCCTCGCTTTGCCATTGGTAGAAAAACTGGAAGCACAATCATGATGCTTTTGGAAATGCTGTGAATGTATTTTCATTCTGAGACAGTGGTGGCTCTAATGCTTTTTAGCTTCTGGGGATCCCTACTGAGGATTATAAAGTTCTTGTGAGGATGGACTCCACTGTTCCCAAGGTAATTCACTTTGGTGCCCACACAAAGTCATGTTTCCTGGAGATGCTAAATCTGCCATTGGGAGTAGGCAGATATTTATTCTGTGAAGGCGGAAGAGGTTGTCATCCCAAATGTTCATCACTGTCCCTTGAAGCCTGTTGTGTGAACTCCTTGTGGAATTTCTCCCCAGCCTATGTCAATCAAAATGACATAGGTTAACACACACCTACTATTTAAACTGTTTGTGCTAATCTGCTCCATCTTTTACTTCAGTGGGTTAGAGCATGAGCACACAAGTAGCTCAGATGGCAGAGCTGAAGGGACAGTAATCCTGCAGAGTGACAAGGAAAGCTGGGGAAAGAAACTTCTCCCATTAACACAACTGGGCCAACAGGAAACATCTAGTCAAATCCATTAGATACAGCTTTCATTTCTTTCTGCTCTCCTTCTCGAAGCATGTTGTTCCTGGGGCTGAAACATTTTTCTTTCACTGAGGCAATCTCTTTTCTCCAAGTCACTATGGAGCTAACTCTTTTTCTTTTTTTTGACGCCAAGCAGTCCTAGTCAGACAGGCAGTTAATCCGTTTTGTATGATTGCTCTGCAAACAAAGAAAATCAGATAGGTGTGGCTATTCTGGCACTGGCTTCTGTGCAAGCGCATCTCCAGAAACAAAGCTGTACGCACCCAACAAAACATCCCAAATGACCAGTGAGGATAATCACAGATTTTGGTCTGATCACAGATTTTCTTAAGGAATAAGGGGTCTTTAGATATGAAGAGAACCCACCTCTAAACAGAGGTGATCTCCTTTAGGGTTTGTTGTACTGTACTGTTAGAAACGTGTAGGTTGCAGCAGTTGTCTATCTCCCTTTTTAAGAGACTGGTCCTATGAGTTACAAGGACCCACAGAAGAAAACAGAGCCTTGGTGACTGAAGATAAAATTAAGAACTTAGTTGTTCTTCATCTTCTTCCTGTTCTCGTTCCTCAGGGTAAATTGAAATGATAAGTGGTTTTCTTCCATTCTGCTCATGTTGTTGAAGGGAGAGTGCTTAGACAGACTGATGGAACTGCAAGAACCTCTTGGGACATGGGCACTAGATAGCCCCTCGCCTGGCTTGTGGAAAAGGACTTCTTCCCCTTTATTATCTTCTCTTGTTGTTCCTTCACAGATAAAGTGACAGTGCTGGAGAGCTTCAACTCAATGGTCCGGGTGGCTGTGGAGACGTCAGAATCCCAGGTCGAGGTAGAGCTGGTCCCTGCTGTGGAAATTCCAACTTGCTGGCCCAAGAAAGCCCAGTGGCCTCGTTGCCTTAAGCGTTGGCCTTCCCAGGAAAAAGTACAGTGCATCAAGGTAAACAGTGTAAACCATTTACTTGTTAACTATTATCTCTGTGCAAGAATTTACCTTGCAGGTGTCTGACAGTGGTTCCCAAGTGAAGGACTGCAAGGTGATGGCAAGCAGTCACCAGCAGACCAGTAGAACCAGATTGCCTTCATAGTATTTTCAAATAAAGCTTGTATAATAACTTACACATATTGCATAGTAATACCTCAGAAATGTCACACAGGGACAGTGGTACATCAGTTAAGATGTAAGAATTGCTGCCAAAGGGAGCTGGAAAGTTTTTTGTGCCACCCACAAGTTTCCAATCTTCTTTGATTCAGAGTTTCTGAATCACCTCGACATCAGGCATTTGTTCCCAAACTAAGTAAGAAAGGCCACTGCTCCTTCCTGCCCCATGACATGTCTGGAACGTGTATTCTCTAGAGAAGCAATATTTCAAAGTACTGAGGTGCATTTTATTGGAATTTTCTTTTCTCTAATGGTGGTGAATTCTGTGGAAGAAAAACTGAACTATCTATCTACTGCATGAGTCTCTTCCACACAGCGTAGCTCAGTGCTGACCTGCATCGTTCTTGTTGTTCTGGTTTGCCTCATGTGGATGTTCTGCAAATGTGCCGCTGTCTTGCAGTTTCCCCTCCAGCCTAATCCTGTTTCTCCCTACAAACCGTGTGGCTGGATTCTGGCACTCCACCTTAGCCCCAGTTGCCATGTTCCCAGCAGGTCCACTTCTGCCTTCCAGTCCCACTATCATTTCACACCTGACCTGCTGCTTCATGGCAAAGTGCCCACAGAGTTGTGCCTCTGCTTTAGTAGCACTGTTTGTGCTGTACTTAGTGGCTCTAGGGCTGGATCTTCTGGGAGCAACTGATGTCAGAACATGAGGAAACAGGATAAATTGGATGTTTATTTAATTAGGAATTAGAATGGGAACACGATCCAAATTTGCTACCTCTGCTAAAGCTGTTTAGAATACATTGCTCCACTTTGAAAAATATTACACGGCCTCTTCATAATATTCCTGTGCATTTGTCAGAGATGTTTGCGTCTCATCTGGTGTCACACTTCTACTTTTGTCCACAGTCACTTGGTTTCGATCTTTTGGCCCACTCTAATTACCACTGGCAGCTGTGCTTCTTCCGTGCTGAGCATATGCTCATGGAAGGTCTCGATGAAGATGGTGGTTGTCGCATGAAGTGCTTCCGGGTCATGAGGCAGATGAAGGAGGATGTTTGGTGTGCTGGAAATAAGCCTGTCATCACAGCCTATCACCTTCAGGTAGGCATTACCAAAATATTGGGAAGGAGAGACTCAGAATCCGTTGCCAGGACTTCCAATGTCAAAATATCTTTGCCTCTCCTATGTAACTTCTAAAGTAACTTAAAACTTCAGTATCACTTAATTGCATTACAGTGGTAAGAAGTTTAGTAAATATATGTTCCATACATCAACAAGAAACTAAAACCTATAGGAACATTATGGTGGCAGCGATGTAAGTAACATCAGAATTGAGGCAGCTACTCTGTTTCCACTTCACATAGGCATTGCAATACAGTTTTTAACTGCATGGTTCCATTCTGCTTCTTGACTCCCCCAGACATGCATATCCATCAATAGACAGATCCACCTGCAGGAAACTTGTGTATTTGTCTTTCTGGGTGTGCACCAAGCAAAATTCTCTTAGGTGAACGTGATTTCATGAGTGAGGTGCAAACTGACATTTCTGGTGTTGTTTTACCTGGGGTGAGAAGGGAAGGAGGAGGTTACGGGATAGTGGCATCCTCCTCACACATATTTCAGGGTTCAAGATGGCTTCACTTTACAAACAACATTTACGAAGAACAGATAGGAGGTTGTGCTATGACTTTGTCCTCACGCGTTACAGCTACGAAAACTGATGGGCCAGAAGCAGCACCATTCATCTGTCAGTAGAGCTGTCCTGTTTTCTGGGCCTCCATCCTCCTGGAGCTGCCAGGGAGAGGCTGCTCTGCTCCTTCCTTCAAGCCACGAGGCTTCTACAGTAGTTACTGATCTTTTGGTGTCCGAAACCAGATGCAATGCCAAGAAGCTACTTAAAGCTTGAGACCATCAAATGCTTTTGTAGTCATGGGACCAATCTAAGTCAAGATAGAGTCAAAAAAAAAAAAGAGTGGACTAGGCTGGTTGTAGGTTAGCATAATGCTAAGCTTTTCAGCGCCTACGAAAACAAGCTGATGAAAAACTATCATAGGCAGGAGTAAGTGGAAAATCTTTTAAACCACTAGTAAGGATCTCTTTCTGTGGCTCAAGGAGAAGAGGTGTAGGGAGTGCTGTTGCATGTGCTACTCATCAAGCTTCTACTCAAAAAACTCTTGAGTTCCTCCTGCAACTAGACTTCAGGCTTTTAGAGCAAGAGAGAACTGATTGAGCAGATGGAAGGAATGCTTCAACATCACTTACAAAAGAAAGTATGAGGAGAAACAGTCAGTGGATAAACCAGCGGCTGAGGAGGGGCTGAGTGTTAGTTTTCCTCACATTAATAAGTTTTCCCTGTCTAAAGTATCCAACAGTGATGATGAAACAAGACTCCACCTGAAAAAGGCCCTTTACGACAGAAGAAAAACCTTCCCCTTGCAGTTGGAAAGCCTCAGAAGAGCTCGTGCTTACTTCCATAGAAATGAAGTTCAAGATCAGGAAGTCCAAAAGACCTAGATGCATTTTGAAAACCAACTTGATGTCTCTTATATACAATGGCAGTTCAGTAAATGCTGGAGATAGGTCACCTATTTGTCACCTGGCTGAAAAAGTAGCATTATTTTCTTCACCTCCAATACCTTCATTGCAACTGCTGCCCATGCAGCTTGCTGAGATATTTTTAGTGCTGGTGAAAGGTAGCTGTTCTGCAAACCTCCAAGGAGCAGCTCTCACTGAGTTTTAGCTTGAATTTTTCATTATGTCTTTTGCAACCTGGCAACATTAAAAAAGTCTTTGTCATTATTGCAGCCACAAACAAAGACTTGTTCATGTGTGAAGAGCTGCCCGAGAAGAAATTCCTCAGCACTGCAACTACTGCAAGGCCAACTGGAGGAAAAAAACAGGCAATCCAGAAGAGTGTGGGTTATGTTGATAAAGTTCTAGCTCTAAAAAAAGCAGAGGAGTTAAAGACTTTGTAGTTTGACCACTTCTCACAAGATCTGACGGTCTCTCTGGGACACTGAATTTCCAAAATAAAATTGGGATTGAGAGGAAGCCAAGCAACTTCATGGAATTCTTACACCAAGATGGGTGAAATTATTTTTATAAAACTGATTTTCGGGTTGACCAACACAGTCAGTGCAAGTACTTCCTGAAGGTCCTTCTTAGTCATAGCAACGTTTGTAAAAATGTAACATGGGTAGTGTAAAAATAATACTATTAGAGCAATGATTATTGCTCATTATTGTAATTATGGATTGTCTCAAATATAAAATTCTGTAAAATAAACTTGGAGGGAAGAGAGTATAGCATATGCTGTAAGTATAAAAAACAGACCAGAAAACATGCCTTGTAACTGCAGTAGTTGCTTAGTATCCCAATCTGCTGGACCCAGTTTTGTGCACGTCTTCAGCCTAAGTACTTCTGAAGCTAACAAATAATTGTGTTAGTCTGATTCTTCTCTCCCTCCTTGCACATATTGGCTTCTACACTTGTATAATCAGCCATTTTCTACAGCCTAAAATATCTGGCATTTGTACAGAGGCTCCTGTTGGAGGATGGCAAATAGGCTAAGGTTAGCTTAGCAAGACCATTGTCCTTTGGCTAAATGGAGAGAGGGTCCTTTGAGGAGTAAAAGAAGGAACGTCACGGAGTTGCCTTGCCTAATCCCTGTAGGAGGCTTTCTCTCTGCATTAGCGAGGTTGCAAGACAAAGGAAGCAAGAGGACAGCCACAGGAGGGTGGGAAGGCTTCGCCTTAGGCTGCTGCTTGTGATCCTTCTGCCTCAGGAACGTTAGTTAACACAGGAAGCCTGCACTGTGAGTCTCTGATTTTCAAAGCTGTCAGCCATCTACCAGCACTAGAACTGCCTTAGTAAGCTGTATAAGCCCTCAACAGAACCTCTAACACCTCTTCTCTCCCATCTGCTTCTTACAGACAGTGCTATTCTGGACGTGTGAAAAATACCCACGCACCAAGGATTGGCGCAGCTTCCGTGAAGCCTTTCTGAGACTAGTACGGAAGCTGCACAAGTGTGTAAGCCAGCACTTCCTCAAGCATTACTTTGTCAGGAACACCAACCTGCTCAAATACACCAACACCAGCGACCTGGACCTGGTGGCCAGCAAGCTGGCAGTCTTCTTAGAGAACCCCATGCTCTGCCTGGACTAAAGCAGGGAAGGTCTCTTCACCGCAACCCTGCTCCTATCCCCCGCCTGCTCTCCCCACCTGTGGTTGTTCTTCGTCTCCTTCCAGTAGACACTGCAGCTGGCTTTGTAAGATGTTTGACACATGCAGCATGAAAGAGAGAGTCAAGCTGGCAGCAGTGGGCGGTGAAAACTGACGGGAGAAATCGCTCGATGCCCAGACGATCTAATTCGCTTTCAACAGTGACAGCCTTCCTGGAAGCTACAGCCAGTGCAAACCAGATCTCTGCGTCAGTGAGACAACTGCCTTGTTCTCTGTCACTAGTCCTGTGCCTCGTAAGCAGAAAGATGGTGTAAAAGAGTCTCTCTCCCTCTGCTGCCTAGCTGTTGGGTAACCTGGTGCGTATATTGTTGCCACTCCCTCCTCTCTCACAAGGACAGTGAGTTTAATTCCCTGCCTACCTATTAGGCCAGCTCTGCAGATGAGCAGAGGAACATTTCTGAGGTGCGCTGAAGCTGGAAGGCTTTTTCCGAAATAATCTGTGATTCTTCCATCTACAATTGAATGGGAACCAGCCCCAGCACGAAGATAGCCGTGCTACAGTGTTGAATAGCTCAAAGGGAAGGAGGAGTGGTGTTTTTTTGTCTCCTCCTTACTTTTCTCTCTTCCACATCCGTTTTTCTTCCAGTTTCTTCAAAGATTTTTTTTTCATATTTGCCTTTGCCATTTCTGTTAGTGCCGTACAACCAGGGGGCTTTGCCATGGCAGATTTCACTTGTACCTCTGGCTCTGTCCAGCAGGCTGGAGAAAAGCAGGTCTTTCCCACGTATTTTCAGGTGGTGTATGGAAGGAGAATATTTTTCAAAGGCTCTTAGCTTCAAAACCCCCACAGCTGTTTATATTATGTTTAAGAAGAAAACGAATGTTAGTGTTTCAAAAGAACAGAGTTGTAGAATGGGCATAAAGAATGTTATTCTTAATGTAATTAAATCAGTGAAATGAAATCAAAGTGAGCTTTTTTCTTACACCATCCAGGAAAGTAATATCCATTGCTAAGGGAGGTGGCAAACATGGGATTTGCAGCCAGTACTCCAGGGAGCTGCTGCCGTCAATGGCCTGCAAGATTACCATCTGTGGCAGAGCATCTCCCCCTTGTGTCAAACTGTGGTCTAACCACACATCTTTAACATAGTTTTTGCTTTCTGGCTTAGTTTTTGTAAGCAGGAGTAGCACTTGTGGGAGGTACCCTGTTTCATATTCCAGTCCACTGTGACAGATCTGATGTTGTTTCTCAGGGTTCAGACTCTGAATCTCTGGGGTTTGACCCGTGCTTTTGAAGACTGTCCATCTCACTGGTCAGTTCCCCTTGCATTTGGGAGCCTTATTGCACGGGTGTCCTGGTCCCAGGCTCACAGCAGGTTACAGGTCAGAGTGAAGGATTCAGGAGAGGTCACAGAAGATCCTAATCTACCCCACCTCTAAGAACACCTTCCAAAAGGCCTGGGGCCATGATTCCAAACTCTCTCCCTGAGACAGCTACTGTTAAAGAAAGATTTCCCAGTCCTGTACACGGTAATCTCAGTGGTCTGTTCTCCCTTCCCCACTGCTTGCAGTGCTAGGCAGTAATTTAGGACAGGCAGGGCAGAGCTGCCAGCTGGAGCTACAGAGGGCTCTGGGGTCCATAGGGTGTGTACTAGGTCTTGCTGGGTTACCTTTCATTGCTCTGATGAGTTGTAGTGCTCATTAGTCTGATGTGATGCAGGAGGATCTGGCTCAACTCCCTCTGATGAGCTCGTACCAGACTGCTGTGGTTGAGGCACTGCATCTTCTTTACAATAAGTCTCCAGAGTCTATGAGTCAAGTCCATAGAGACTGAGGGTGCAGAGTGTTTCTTAAAAGGTGGGAACTGCACCCTCAGCTATCTTCAAAATGACTCTAAGAAGAAAATCAGAGGAAGCACAAAAGTTCATACTCAAAACAGAATTTGCAGCTTGGTGCAGCATGCAGGGTTGAGGATCTCACGTGGTATTCCCATTCCTCCCCACACTTACTCTCCAAGAAGCAGATGACTTTACACATCTAAGGTGAGCCTCTGGCTTCTCACCTCTCCCAGGAAGAGGGGATTCCCCAGTGCCATGTACTATAGTGATCACATCACTGTAGCAGGAGAGCCTGTACCAATGCAAATCTGGGAGAACAGGAGGTTAGTGCAGAAGGTTGGTGGCAACTCTGTATAAAACAAGGTAGGTATGTAAGTAGGAAGGCAATAATGAGGGGAAGCAATTTGAGGGCAAGCAAATCCCTGTACAGGGTGTCCATGCTTGTGCACTTTCAGTGCAATTTTCACACAACAAGAGCTGGGGTAGCTCATCTGCAGGGAGTTGGAACTGGACCTCTCCAAACCGAGACCTCTCTCACCAGGGACAATGAACTGGAAGACAGGAAAAGCAGATTGGTGGAGAAGAGGAGGATGGTTGCTACCTTTCTCCTAGCCACTCATAGCTTTGTCTGGTTTTCCCAAGTTACTTGTATGTCTCCTATGATTTGTTGCTTGTGAGTAGAAAAATACATCATATCTTGAGCTCTTAGACAATGTAGTCTATTTTTTTAGTTTCCTAAAGCATGAACAAGTATGTGCATTAGTGTTAATTAAGCATATTTTTAGAAAGAACCTGCAGGTGATCAAATGTTGGACCTCTACTGATACTGTGCCTGGCAGAAGGGTTGTTTCCCAGATACGCCGGGAGAATGCACCCACATGTGCACCAGTTTCTTCCCCTCTTATTTCTGCCTGGTTATCAGAACCCACAAATCCCTAATGAGTACCAAACTGAAGATCTTCATGCATTAATTCCACTAATGCTGGCGCCCCTGTTTATAGAAGATGATCTGGATCTTCACGTTCTCCCATTCCTCAGGAGCCAACCCTTTACTCAAAGAGACTTTCTTTTTTGCTTCCTCATCCTTAGCCCAGGTATAGCAGGAGGCTTTCTTCCCAGGTTAATTCATTAGCAGGAGACAGAGATAAGGATCAGACAGATTCCAATTACTTGGCCCTTCTTGCACTGGTCCCCTGCATCAGACCCCACCGGCCACCATGAAAGCTGCACTTTCTGTGCTCACGACCTGGCAATACTCTCTGAATTGCTTTTCCACATCAGTAACCATGTTGCGTGGAACTGTTTTGAAAGGGTAACTTCTCTTGCTGTGACTTTATACTCTAGGCTGCTTTACAAACAAAAGTGGAAATTTCTTGATGACATCAGGCATGACTTTTCTGTTTCTGGTGAGCAGAGGCACAGCTGTTTCACTACCTTCCACGTAAAGAGCAAAGAGATGCCAATCTGCCAAGTAGAGTCAGACTGTTGAGACTCTGAAGTAGTCTCTCCTGTTTCATCTTGTTTTTGTCTTGTGGTTGTAGGACATAGCTTCCAGAGCTGGATGAGGGTAAGAGCAGTTTGAAAGGATAGTGAAAAATGTTCAGGACCCTTAATGCCAAGTTTGATATTTTAAAGTCCTGCAGCCTGATCCATTCAGGATTTACCTGTGGCTTTTAACAAGTTTACCTCCCTCTGCAGCTGGGGCAGAAGTGTAGCAGCTGTGGTATCTCAACTTGACTGCAGCTGGGTATCACAGTCCTCAGCTGCTGCAGATGGGAGGTGGGAGGTGCTGCTCTCTGCCACAATTGCAGTCTCTCAAGTGGCTGGGAATGAATCAGCAGTGCTAGTGAGTGAGCCTGTCATGACGAGCCCTTGCTTTGAGTAAGTTCAGATGATTTGTTCTTTCTTTCCTTATTGACGCACAGGGGAGTGCATCAACTAACATATGCTGCTCCAGGAAATATCATAGGGACTGTATATAACTAAGATCTGCCCTAGTAGCTACTTTGCTACTGAATGCAGCGGCACAGAACTACCCCTGGCTTTTTCTCCAGACACAGACAGATCATTAATAAAGGTGAGAGAAAAAGCTTTAAAGGAAGAACAAGAAATCTCAGAACTTTGGGGGAGGGGGGTATGCTATGCACTGTCCTATATTGTCTAGTGCACATCAGGTAGTTGGTTGGTTGGTTTTTTGTGGTGGTTGGAGAATTGTGCAGGAGGTCTCTGAAAAATGACTTTGCCTCCCAAAAGTACCTGTTGCTTTTCTTTCCGTGGTGAACTTTCTACAAACAGGATTTTTACTGTTATACGTCCCGTCTGATAACAAAAGCATACCCTTACCCCAAGTTTTTCCTCCAAAAAGGATATCATGTTGTGTTATGGCCACAGAATAAGCTCTACCTTTCAGATTTTTAGTTTTTCTTTTAAAAAAGTGAATGTCTTGACAAATATAGCCTTTCCTAAAGTATATTCAATTTAATCAAAAGCTGTATCTTTATTCAGAGCATTTGGAAGGAATGTGATGACCTTTTTCTTCTCTCTCTCTCTCTTTTTTAAATTGCTTTTATGAGTATTTGCAAGTCTCCTGAAGGCACGTCTAAGGAAAGAAGGGGAATTCCTGACTTCTGCTGTTTCGCTATGTTTGGCTGTGACTTGTTGCTTACTTCTCAGTTCTTATTTTGCTTCCTCTCCTTAACTGAATTATTGGCACCTTTTTACAAGAAAGGGCGAACAATGGCCAAAACTATTTTGTGTGCAGCTAAGAAAAGGTACTCAAGAACAACAGATATTTCCACACTATTCGTATATGTGAAAGAGAGAGGAATTAAATTGCAACTCTGTGACTACAGATGGGGTGCAGTGAGCTTTTGCAGAAACCCTCTGTTCAGGCGACGTGAAACAGCAGCGATGAGAGAATTTAGCAGGCTCTGCGCTGAGTTCTTGGCCCTCACTGCCTTTGTGCAAGATTAGGACTCTTGGGCTGAGTGCAAACTGAGAGTGTTTGTCAAGTTGCCCTCACAGTGTTGTTAGCTGCTGGCAGGTCAGTACAGGTGGGTGTGGGTGTGTGATCCTGACAGTCCTGCAGTGTGCTGGAGCCTGAACTGGGACTAGATGTGTTTTCTGAGATTGGTCGTGGTGGTTCCTATGGACCTCTTTGCAGCTATGGGGCACTCTCAGTACCCTCGCCACAGAAACCGTTACTCCATGTATTAGAAACTTCAGTCTGAACTTTGTTACCCTGTTAGGATGCAAGACCTTACAAAACTTGTGATGTTCTAGTACTTGTACACTTTCTATATTGAAGTCACTAGAGGGCAACCTCTCTCTCTCGCAGGCACAGGTGCATATATTCAGTATGTTACTTGCTCTTGAAATCAGTGTCTTGCTCGTTTTCATTGAACTGAACGAGGGACAAATGAACTCAATTATTTTAATGGTAAATTCTGTTGCCAAAAAGAAGAGAAGGCAAGAGACCAAGGGAGAGCTTTCTAATAAATAGCAAGAATCAGGTAGAAAGTCTTTAAACTCTGGGAACCACTCCAAGAGCCAGGTGATGGATTTATTGGTTGCTGCAGCAGAAGATGGGCTGGCAGTAATTCCCAACAGCCTTGTTTTGGGGGGAGCACAGACAAGCCAACAGCTGATGAGGTTTTGGGAAGGAGGGAACACTCAGGAATAGCCTCCACCCTGCCCTTTAATAGTAAGTATATCATATCTTTCTCTCTGTGGGGTTTGGGGGCTGCAGGCCTGCTAAGAACGCAATGTGGTTGTGACCTCCATGTGTGCCCACCTCTCAGGGCAGCTCTGTCTACCTCTTGCCCTACTCCTACCCACTGAGTGAGATTTTCCCTGAGCAAGGTTTCTTTCACTTCTGTAGGAATGGCCAGTTCTCACTGTACTTCTCCTCTCCTTTAGGTGAGTCCATTGTAGACTTGAAGATTTCATCCACCTCTCCCTCATGCTCCAACTCTAGTAAGGTTTGATGCCTAGCAATAAAGTTAGAATACCTGTTAGACTACATTCCCAGTAGGAGCAGCCTTGGCCCTCTGGGCAACCTGGGATATGGACAGGCAGATATGGTAACAAGCTAATTCTGCCTCCAGACTAGATCCTTTTATCCTCTACCATTGCTAGAATCAGTATTTTTAAGGAAAAACACTTTTTTTTTCTTTTCTTTTTTTAAGGACTCTCATCTGACACTCTTACAACGTCACATGAGACAGTGACACAACACTACCTAATGCTCACAACATGGTGCGCGATCCCACCCGTCCTATAGGCCAACATCTGCCATGCATGTGTGCATCTCCCCTGCATCACAGGAGGACATGTGTGGCGCCCTTGGCCTCTTCGGGGTCTGACTTCTCTGGTTTGAGGAAGACGTGCAGTCTCAAATAGAATTATATAGCTCCAGGTAGCAAATTCATTTTAGGCTGTTCTAACCCAAGCTCTCACATCACAAAGGAACGGAAAAAGCTCTTCTAGTGATATAGGTATTTGGTCACTTCTGCTCCAGGCAACATCTTTGGTCAGAATGAAAGGAGGACATCAGACCTGGCTTGGAAAGCATCTCCTGGATGGGTGACGAGGAATACACAGATCCTAATAGAGACCAGGGCTGTCGAGAGAACAAAGAATGCGTTTTCCACAGGAAAGAATCTCCAATTTACCCTCAGCATCCTCATAAATAGAAATTACAAGGAAATACATCAAGGAAAGAATTAATCAGATTGAAAGGCATTGTAGTAATTAGAAGAAAAAGAGTGGCATCTTCTCAGGCTCCCCCGGGTGGTGGTAATTACCAGCTACGCAACTGTGACTTGTGCAATGTAAAGTGTTCTGGATTAAAAAGCTAAATATCTTTTTGTTTCCTTTCTTAGAGAAGCCATTCTTGGAATCAAGCAGCTGCACAGGCTGGGAGAAACTTGCATCAAGTTTGCATGCCTCAGAGCAACCTTCAGCCTGGCAGAGCACTGCTCTACATGCAGGTTGCTTCAGAGCCTGATGCATGCATCTGGCCTATCTTTTTTTTTTTTTTTTTTTTCTCCTGTTTCCTTGGAGGAGATAGAGAATATTTGCTGGGAAACAAATGGTACCCAACAGCCAGACCCCTTCTGCTGCAACTGCAGGCAGCCTTAGAGCCATCTGCTGCCGCACCATATCCCAGCGGCAAAGAGCAGGTCATGTTCCCTTCCAGTGCTGATCTTGTCACTGGCACCGATGGGCCTGCCCAAGGTGCACGATTGCATATGCTGTAATTGAAGGAGGCTAGATCACGCTTTCCAGGGAAGGAATTTTATTAATTCAATTAGCATTGAAGAGATTTTATGAAAGTCCAGTTCCAAGCTAGTGATAAACTGAAAAGTAAGCACAGCACAGGGAAAATAAATCCCTAGCAGAAAAGAACTTCCAAAAAAATTGACATCAAGCTGTGAATTCCTGTGATCTCCATTTGAGATGCTAAGAGCATAGGGCTGGGAGGGATCTCGTCAGTCATCAAGTCCAGTTCCCTGCCCTTGCTGATCTTTCCCCAAATGAATCAAGAGTAAAGGCAGTTGGATCCTTTCCCCCCTGACTCCTCTGGTACAGACCTGCACAGATAATTGGGAACTTTCGTTGAACTTTCAGCCTAAATGTGTTTACAGGAAGGGTCATCTGGTTTTGTACCAATACAGACTCAAGTTGCTGTTCTCCTTCCATGAGGTTTACTGTTTGTACAACCATGACAACAGTAATCATAAGCTCCCTTGGCTTTAGCTGAGCATGGCCAGATATGACAAAATGTCTTTTTCTCTGGTAAAATCTCTATTCCATCCCTGCTCTGCACCTTTCCCAATTGTAATTCATCTGAGCATGAATAACCAGGATTGTATGCAGTGTCCCAGATAAGGTCTTATCAGTATCCCTTGTAATGGTATTTCACATACGTAGTATTAATCCATGCAACATATCCCCTATGCTGAAGAGCAAAGAGCAGCAAAGGTTCAAGTTCAGTTTAAAAAATAACTGCCACTTCAAAGGAGGATCGACCATAGTCAATGATTTCCTTTAGCAAACCAGGTTAGGCTGGTTGAAAGGCTTTCTATGTTCCAGTTATCTCTGAAGTGAACCATATTCCCACAGATGTGAGCCAATGGATTCATCATCTCCTTAAGATCTGAGCTCAAGACAGAACTGGTGATTTATTTGAGTGTTTCTTTTTGCATTCCTCTGTTAACAGCCATTTCTCAACTATATTTCTCATTTAGTTCTACCCTTCAAGTTGATGGTAGACACCATCACTCCTTATAACACAAATTTGGCTTTTTAGAAATAAGCTGAAGAATTTGGCTGTTTTCTGGCTGTGTCTTTAGAATATCATAGAAGAGAGAGGCAACAGATCAGTGACCAGAGCTAATAGCAGCAAAAAGGATTAAATGAACAATGGATCTTGAGCGTAATTTATGAGTGCTATTAGTCGCTAGGAGGGAATTACATTATGGCTACAATTCTGAGCTAGGAGCGTTGTTCTTATCTAGGCAGGAAGAAAAAAGTAAAAGTGTCCAATTGCATTTGGATTAACAAACAGTAGTATTTATTTGCCGTGAGATACATCTTAGGCTATTATGTTTAGATTAGATCTAATAACATCTGAACAAAGACAAACTGCATTTCCTGTATTTTGCATTCAGACCCCTCCTGACCAGCAAATGTTGTGTTAGTGTTTCCGAGGTACCAGTCCACCATGTGGACTGACAAAACATAGTTCTCTATCAAGTGTGCCAGAAGGGTGGGGGTTTTTCCCTTGCAAGTCCATTGGGCTCTAAGAGACGTGTCATTAGGTGACACGAGTATTTCCTTGTGGCCTGTGTACCACGTTCCAGGGATGACACTGAGCAAACAATTCCTTTGTTTGAGATATCTGCTCTGTGTTTCATTTTATAATCAACACAGTATCTCATTAAACTGCTTAGCTTGGCAGCTGGGATCATTTGTTATAGTGTGATATGGAGGATCGTAATCAGATTAAACCTCAGGATTGTATTGTGGAGGGAGAGATTAGACCGGAGAATAAAGTGAAAGTTTCATTTTGTGTGACAGTGTAAAGTTCCCGCTGCTGGGGCAGGGGGGAGGAGGTGGAAGATGATTGTGGAGGATCAAACTATGGAGTGTTTTTTTTCCATTGGCTTGCTGCTCAGTTTTTGGTAGAAGGGTTTTAGTACCCACTTTGACATACATGGTAGTTCCTGCAGCTACCAGCCCCTCATGGGGTTGGCTCACTCTGCTTTTCTTCCCAGATGACTATTTGAATTCAGGGCATGCACAGGAAGGAAAAACAAAGAGGGTGTAAGTGATGCTAGAAGCCAAAACTTTGTGTGCCTTCATGTGGAATACTTCAGAAGAGAGATGACGTTGGCACTAGCTACTTAATTCTCATTATCTCTGCACTGGAGGTCCAGGTCCTGGAGCTGAGCTGCTAATCCTCAGCTCCTTCCCAGTCCTGCATTTTTAGCACTCGTCATCCCATGAGTCTTCCAGCAGTTTGGGGACAGGAGGCACCCTCAAAGAGTCAGCAGGATCACCGCAGTATGAACATACCAGAAAGGAGGTCTTCTGTGAGATCCTTTGAGCAGAGTCTTCCTCTTTTGGCTCATACTAAAATTAGCTATCAGAAATTTTGGCAGGTTAGGAAAGGCAATATGTAGATGAATTCCTGTCGTCTCTGCAGCCAGAGAGAGAATGCAACTGTGAGTCAGAGCAGCCCCAGCCTCTGGCCTGGCCTGTTTAACAGGTAGTTATCATGGAGAGACCCAGGTACTACCACCATCAGAAAAGAATCGAGATCTCTGCAGGTCTCTCCCTGGACAATGCACTGGGCAGCAGGTATCCCAAATCCTGCCAAAAGGATTTTTTTAAATGTTGCTGCTGTAGTGCAGCTTGGGAATTTCCTGTCTTTCCCTCTTAGGCAATGGAGACTTAAAACCAATTAAGGGGGAAAATCTGTATGGAGAAATGGTTAAGATCATGGGAACTCCAAGTTTGGAGGAGGTGCGTGCACATACAAACACATGCATGTTCCCTTGTCATCAGTGAAAATCTATAAACATGTTCAAAAATGTTCAAAAATGGTGGCTAGGCTGAGTCCTATCCCAAATAAAGTAAACACTTGCCAAAAAGTAGAGATAAAGATGGCTGTATAAATATTTAAAACTGTACCTAACACAACTGCAAGGTCTATTCCCACACTCCCTCTGATACTCATCCTGGAGATGCACTTAGTGAATAATATATTCTTTCATCAGCTTGATCTTTTACTCGGATATTGTACCCTTTTCCTTCTCTGTTTTCTGTCTCTGTTCCCTAGAGATGAAGTATTTTAGGGCAGGAGCCTGGCATAGAGACACCCTGGTTTTCATTGTGATTCCTGAAGCTTAACACAATACAGTTCCACAGAAGAAAACCTCAGAGGGCTGAAGGAGATATTGATCTAAGCAAACTGAAAGCGGCCAGGGACCTCCTGGCCACCCACGATTACTTCTGGAGTGATGAGGAGGCACCAGAGGTGAGCAGATAAACTCTGTGTGAACGCTACAGTCACATGGATCGCTAACAACTTGCCCTGTTTTGTGGTGATGAAGTGCCAGGGTGCAGAAGATGGCAGAGCCAGATGCTCGGTACGTGGCTTAGAGGAATGCACATCTAACATTAACAAAGAAGAGATGGCAACAGACTGTCTTCCCCTCCTGGGGCCTGGCAGAAACAGAGAAAGGGCATTCATGCAATGGAAAAGCATCATCTAAGCTGGTGCTGCACTGGGGTGAAAGCAGCTGCGCTCCCTCCGGGGCTTGTCCCTCTGTGGCACCACGCGCTCCTGAAAAGCCCCCTGCTAGCAAATGAGACAGCTCTCACCTCAGGTCTTGCTGGAGGTTTTAATGAGTGGTGATGATCATGGGCAATATACATACGATATACATTATATACCGATCCAGATAGACATGGGCCGTATTTTCCTTCTTTGCTTTCCATGTATAGATAGGCAACATGTATTAAGGGCAGACCCTAAGCTCTTCACCAGTGCAGCAGGCTGGAATCGAAGCCCCGTGACCCTGTAAGCATACTGCAAAGCACAGGGCTGAGAGGAAGACACTGACCTAATCAAATGTTTGCCTCCCGTTGCCCTGGTTACTTTCTCAGATAACATAGCCAGCTCCTAGGCACTGTCTGTTCTTGTATTTAAGGCTCTAAAAAGCAGTGATCCTCTACAGCCCTGGCAGAGAGAGGCTCTGGTCTTTATTAAGCCTCTTAGAGTTGCTACAATACAATAACTTGTTTTTTAAATGGCTTCAGTGAGGTTTCAACACCTGCAAAAACCTGTTTGGAAGCTTTTTAGCAAATGGGAAATATGTCAGGTGTAAAGGAAAGGCCTGGAGAAGGGGGGGATACGTCTGGAATCCTCTACAGAGGGCTCTGGGTAGAGATGGCAGTGCTCACACCACGCTCCACTGATTCTGGCAGTGGAGGGCTCCAGGAGGGGGACTGCTCTGAAGAAATGCTGCCTTAGAAGGGCAAGAGAAACCCCAAGAAACTGCTGCCCTTTCCTACAGCATAACAGAAACTGGGGGCGACTCATTGGTACCACAGAGATGGGGAAATAGCACAGGAATCACTTTGTCTCTTCTAGCAACGTTTTTCTGGAAAAGGCGACCACACACCTATGGACTAGTGACAGGTTGCACAGGGCATCAGAAGGTGGCCTGTGAGGGAAAAGTACACAAAGCTTTTTTTTAAAAAACCCTTGGCATCTTTGATGCCAACAGACTCCAGGCAAAAGTCTCTAAGGCGTAAAGGACTGTGGCACCTGGTAGCATCACCTCAATCCTAATGAAAAGATAAGAGTCTGAGGCATGCAGGTGGGACACTAGATTTGATAAAGCCAAACCTATGATACGCACTGGACTTGGGGCTGGCCTATGAAGAAGAAAATGCAAGAACCATCTAAAAATATGGGTATAAGTTTTCCAGCAAATAAAATGACTTTGGGAGTTGTTAAAAAGACTGCAAAACATGAACAAATCACTTCAGAACATGAGGTGATCCCTGCTCTGCCCAGCATGTGTGCAACATTCACATGGCGGGCTCCTGAACCGTCTGCTGAACTGAGGGAGGTTGGGACGTTAGGGAGGTGAGGACGTGAAGGTGACAGCACCCTCGTCAAACAGCCAGAGGGTAGCTGTTATGTGATTCCAGCATGCAAAAGCTGTAGCAACAGGTTGCTTTCATTTGCTAGAATTTAACAGGAGCGGAGCTCTTCTGCACGAAAATGAGGACCCTAACATCCCTGTTTATGATACTTTTCTCACTGACTTAGGAAACCACAGCAAAGGCCATCCTTGCTGTTCTCAGCTCAAGTCTCTTTGAACCTTCAGCCTTCAATTAAAATAAGAAAACAATGGTTCAATAAATACTCACAGTATACATCCAGAAATAGATATAATTTATTAAAAACATGCTAGAATCCAAAACCTGTGTCTGCCTATTGAGCTCTGAATAACACATGCTTAGTAAACTGGAGAAAGCTGGGGTCTGTGTGTGTTTTTCTGAACAGAAACCATCTCAAAAATCAAATAGAAGGTTTATCAATACTCAGTAGTTAAAAACGTCTTAAAGGACCAATGTGGGAGCGGTCAGAGAGAGCCCTAGTACCCACTGCTGTTTTACCTTATGTCATGGGCACTGCTGGCATACCACTTTGAGCGGCTGGTCTGTGCTTTGTCAGACTTTGTGTGCTAAGCTTAGACTGAGATTTCACACAAAACACTGACGCATGAACAGGTGCATCCCTTTTCCAGTTCATAGATAGATGTCTATCTGCAACCACTAATAAAGGGAAACTGTAATATGTGCCAAATTCTAGGGCTCAGTAGACAGAAACACTAATGTAAGCCCTGTAAGAGTCTTGCAACGCTGACAACAAAGCTATGTGAAAACAATACAGTAGTTCTTACCTACGTACACTGGACAATAGCTCAACTTAAAATCACTCTGCAAGAGACCTTCAATTCAACCTTCTGATTTTTTCAGTGACCTGCTCTTACAGAACTGGAAAAGCTCTATATCAAAATCCTAGTCAAATGAAATGCAGGTGCTGAAGTCCTATTTCAAATGCTTGTGATGTAAAGTACATGGTATTGTTTTGAAATGACATGATGATCATTCAAAGCACCTTGATGCCCTCTTTTTCTTCTTTCCACTTCCTTGCAGACTGCCAACAGAATACCTTCAAAAGCACCCTCAGACCCTCTCCTTCCCTTTGCTAGATCCTGTTGGACAAGGCAGGAAGACATCATGAGCATTAGCCCACCTCTGAGAGTCTGCAAAGACTGGGTAGGACCTCAGGTAGGTTTAGTAGAGGATGTTGACATCAAAGATTTAGGAGGGTAAGCTTCTCCTCCCTAGCAGGGCTATTTGGTATAGGTAGTACTGTGCATCACTTGGAATTGTGAATACGATGCTGAATATTGTAGGCTGCTCCTTTACTTGTATCACTAGCTGTTTGGGCAAAAGGGTATCAAGTGGCTTGTCCAAAGTGACCTGGCAGAGGGTGGAAGAGCCAGACCTGGACTAGCTCTCCCAGCCCTCCGGACTGCTGGCGTCTCCGACTCATTAGCGTGCACTGAGCTGAGAAAGTTGCCTTTGGGTGTGTGGCTGTTGCTGAATACAGGAAACCTGCCACTGCTCTTAGAGTTATTCTGTGTTGCCGGTGTTTAATGTTCTTAAGGGGGTTGAGTTTTCCTCTTTTCTGTTGTTGTTTTCTTTGACTCCTTCATGAATATAGAGCAAAGATAGAATATACAAAATAATCTGACACTGAAGAGCATACAGAAATTGAATCTATGATTGCGATAGATGTGTTATATGTAAAACAGGGATAGAGTTTAATAAACCATGCTATTTTGGTGGTGGACAGAGGGCAATCAACAATACTATGCTACTCCAAGCTATGCAGCCTAGTTCTCCTTGCAGACTTGGTTCACAAGTTTTTCTTTAATTCTGAAGCCCTAAGCAGGGTTTTGGGTGTAGGGTGTTGGCTGAGGGTTGAGTTAGCACCATGGGCTGGAGTTTGGCAGAGGGATTCAAGTCAAAGAGCAGCAAAGCATATCTGACTATGAGGTCCTTCCAAGCAAGGCAGAGACCTTTATGGCAGTTGCCAGAGGCTCAGTTATTGAATTTTAGAGGTGTAGTGAAAAAGCTGTTAGTAAATCAACTAATATAGTTGAAGGCAAAAAAGAAAAATTTAAGATGAGTTTGCATACACAAAAGTATGTCTTTTTTTCCTTCAGCCCTGCCTTCCTGAACTGCTAAGGGATGTTACTCTTCCAAACTTTATCCAGCTCTCTAGACCTTGAACTTTCAACACTGTCTTGACCTCCCATTTCTTGTCCTACCAGGCTTGCACTGTGAAAATAAGGTGATTTTTTTTCTCTCCGTAGAGATATGGTAGCCTACCTCCCAGCCATCTCTTGTCAAATTGCAGTGCTCTATCTGCACAACACAATTTCTTGTGCCTTTGATGTGAAGAGCTTTCATTAATTTCTGACTGTAAATGACTGTCATGAGGGAAGTGCTATATATATTGTTGCCCCAGCCTCTGTTTAAAAGGTTGCCCTGTAAAAGGGCAAGAGTGACTGGAAGGATGGTGTTTCTCAGACTGACCACAAATAGCAATATTGCAGTAATTCTATTTCTCTAAACGAAGGAGGATGTTATATGATGCTGTCAAGTATCTGATCAGAAACGCAGTGACAATGTCTGAGCAGAAGTTATTGCATTCACCTGTTGCAGGGAGGCAATACTGCTTTGTCCCTCTTTTTGTATCAGATGCAGCAGGCGTGAGTGAGATCCCTGCTGTAGGCTGGCCATGATCCATCTGCACAAAACTATCGGGAGCCTAATGTGATGTTTGGGGGACAGTTTCCTCATTGCACCTGCCTCTCCAGGTGGAGGGAGATCTCCCTGCATTTCTCTCCTGTGAGGGGCAAGGCAGTGCTTGGGCCAGCATCACTCCAGCCGTCCTGCTGCAGGGTGCGGAAGCTCGGCGCTCTGGTTTCGGTGGGGTGATGGCAGGTGTGCAGTTCCTGCAGTGCGAGGTCTGCCTGCAGCACTTGAGGAAGACCCCTCCCTCCCTCCCTGTCGGTGGCGGGCACACAAAGGTGTACTGTCCTCCTCCTCTTTTGCTTGCAGGGTCTGCCCCTGCAACAAACCTCTGCTTTCCACACAGGCGCCTGGCCCAGGGCTCCAGCCTCTGTCACTGCAGAGGGAGAGGTGTCTGTGCACCAGGGGGGTCCTCTGTGTCCTGCCCTTTTCCCACCCCCTCTCTGGGGACCTGCAGCCCTGGAGCACCTTCCAAGGGGGAGATGAGGCAGAAAGACCTCCAAATGCATGGTTTCTGCCTCCCTTGTGGCTTCTCTGCCCCCAGCTTCCTGGTGCATTGTGCAGACCCGGCACTGGAGGGCACCCGGGACTGTGGGTAAACAGAGCAGGGCTTCGTAATCCCTCGCCTAAGAAAGGCCAGGCAAGGAAACAGGCAGCCAGTAGCAGGCTGGTGCGTATAGGCTGAGGAGGGAGCAAGCAGGTCATCCCTACTGCTGCAGGCTGATCCCCTCCAGCCTGCATGTGTGTACATGCGTCCTCCAGCGTGCCACAGTGCAATCTGCCCTGCACACACACTTCTGCCCCGTGCAGAAGTGTGAGCACTGCAGGAAAGGGGTTGATGGTGCTCCAAGTTGCTTGGGGTTTTGTTCTCCCCTGTCCCCCATGTGTCTCTGGAAGGTGTAGGGAGGAAAGTAGCAGTGTCCTGCTCCATTTATACGCTCACTCTCTTCTTCCCTCCCTCCCTCCTCCTTTCTCCCCTCCTCTGCCACAAGCAGCCCCTGTCTCCCTTGTCCTGCACCCATGGTACTTGCACTTGCATCAACTCTTCCTTTGGCTGAAGAGCAGTGTCTTGTTGGAGACAAGCTTGGGATGGAGGGAAAGCAGGGTAACAGGAGGAGGTTTCTGGCATTGAAAGTCTTCAGTGGCAGTATTCCCTGGCAGTGCAAGTGGCTTTAATAACTAAAAGGTTGCCTGAAAGATAAGAGAGGTGGTAGTGATGCACCAGCGAGCCCTGAGGAAGGCTGCTGGTCACAAACTTGTTGCAGGGGCTCTCACAGCAGGGATGCCTGTGAGGGTGCTGTAAGAGAGGGAGAGAAATGTCCTCCTTCCCTCGTCCCTTCCTCATGGGGCCATCCACCTCCTCGGGTGCTAGGACAACAGGAGGTGGTGGGAAAGCAGCAGGGAGGAGAGGGCAAAAGAGTGAATTTAGCTTTGGATTTGAAGCGGGAGGGTACAGGGTGGGTCCGGCCCACCTCAGTCGCAGGCCACAGCCTACACGGCCTTTGGGCTGAGGTTTCACCTGGGTGGGCAGTGAGTGCCACGGGGGTTGTGGAAGCGGCCGCTTGGGTGCACTGGAGCTCCATGCTGCCGCTGCTGGCGGCCCACAGCTCTCCCGTCTTCCGCAGCCTCCTTCCTCCGCCCGGCCCACGCTTGCAGGCGGCGTCCGGGAAAGGGCTGGTTAAGATCGTTGGCGAAGAGGTTGCGTTATGATTCCAGGCAAATCGCTTTGTTGGCTTCCCTCCCCCACCATGGCCTGCCTCTGCAGCCGGCTCCAGGCACGGGTGCAGGAGCCACGCTGTAACGATCACTGAGAACAGCTTGAAAATAGTTATATATCCACACACACGTAAACTGCTCTCTTTCCTCCCAAAACCTCATCTCGCGTTGGCAACCCTCTAGAAAGTGTATCTTGAAGGAGAAAGTGCAGCTGTAGGGAACTGCTGAAAGAACTGGGAAACCAGCAAAGCCAGCCGCAGGGTCCTGCTAACTGTGCTTTGGACCGTGAGCTCCTGGAGTCGGGGCAATCCAGCACCTGAAACATCCACGGCACCACAGTAGGATAACTACCCCAGCATAAACTTCCCCTGCCTGAGCAGAAGTTACAGGTGCACAGCTGAGCAGGTTGGCACCCCAGCCTGAATTTGCATTCCCAGCCAGGTAGTGCAAAGGGCACTGCTCCAGCCATTGGGCGCTGTACAGAACACAGCCTGGAAAGCTTCTCACGCTTTTTTTTCATTCAAAGTTGCATGCTTTGTTTTTCCCCACCTGCTCTGATCCAAGTCTAAATTTTCCTCCGTGTTAGTGCTGACAGCATGGGCAAGCAGGCTCCTCTTGTGCAACAAGCCCTCTTGTAGCCCCATGCCCTCCCTCTTCACTGTCCCAGCTCTGGCTGAGAACATCATGTACCTGCTTGTGGGTGGTGAACGCCGGTGCCTTCACTGTGCTGTTATGTTCCTCAGGCCAGCACCAAAAGCTGTCTTTTTTCTTTCCTTTTTTTTTCTGCTTTTAAATGAGTGTATTAGATTGTTGAGAGAGCCGATGGAAATTCTCCGTTCCAAATGACTCAAGTTACACTGGAAACTGAAATATTTCTCAGCAGTCTGTTATGCATCTCTCTCTTGTTCCTTCTCTACAGAGGGGTTTTTAAACCAGCGGACAAGTAGGGGAAGGCACTTCTTGCTCCCTCTTGATCCTGACCATGGAGCAGGCTCCAGGTTTCCGAGAAGTGAGGCCTCACTGGCCCAGGGCAAGGCTCTGATTTGCCCTCAGTGGGCACCAGGCCCAGACACAGCCAGGCACTTCAGCCTTGTTCAGGGTCCCTAACGCTGGACTTCTTGCTGAGGGATGAGGCTGGCTAGCACTACGATATCTGAGCGCGTATCCTTAACATCAGTGTTGTGTGCTGCTGGTCAGATCCATTGGGTCCTGAACCCTCCTCCCCAGAGGCGGGGAGTAGGGTTCTGCATAGGGGCTGCTCTGGGTTTGGCTGATCCCAGTTAGGAGTCAGTCAAATTCAGAGGTGATGCAGTATGGGAACCATAAGCAACAGCTTGGTATCAGCTTTGAGCCTCATCCATCCCAAAGAGCTTGTCTATAAAGGGATTTATGTCAGAGAAGGGGAAAAGCACTCTTACTCCACCCATGGTGTTACTCAGGCAATTATTGGTGTTTTAATGTGTGAACGCTACCTGCATCCAAATTAATGGTTGAGCAAGGATGGGCACTGAGTCGGCACGTCAGCAGCCCCGCTTGTCCCTCCTGCGTGCCAGCAGCCAGCCCTGCCGGGTGACGGAGGCCAGCGGGCAGAAGGGTTGCTGGTGGTGGTCCACCATGGTCCTGTCGTCACCAGCAGAGTGAGAACTGTCTGCGGCAACAGCAGCTGAGCAAGACGCAGGGAGCCTGTGCGGTATGGCCTTGACCGATGTGACAAAATGACTCCTGTTGCCATAGTTTTCTCAAGAATAAGGGCTTCATCAGGCCAGAGCAATGGTGAGTCATTCTGGCCAGAGATGGTGCATGCAAAGTGCAAGGGGTCATCTTGAATCAGTTCCCCACGGGAGCACTATCTGACTCGAACCTGTCCACATGGATGTGGCCAGGGTGGGACCTGGGAGCAGGGCTTGGCGCTGAGCTGCAGAAATAACCGCATCAAATCAGCATGCCGCCTGCTGCAGCGCTGCTGGAGACTTGGCTCTGCAAGAGATGTTAAACTGATCCCTCCCTGTCCTTCGAGGGGGTTGGATTTCCACCATGAGAAACATCAACTTTAATGGGAGATTTTTGACTGAATTACAGCTTTGCTGGTGCTGCAGCTCTGCAGGGAGATAAAGATAGCAAGTCATGCCTTTTTTTCCTTCCCCCCCACCCTAGCTTTAGCACCATGCACACCGTTTGCTGTGTTCCCCCTCAGCGCACAGACCTTCTCCTGCTTCCCCCTGTGGTTTTGTTTGTGTTACCTATAGGGGAACTTTTAAATCCAGGCAATTCCCATCTGCTCCCTCTTTATATTAATTTCTTATTAAATATTCCTGGAAGCTTCTCAAAACCCTAAACAGAAGATGAGAGACCTTGTTCTTCATCTTAAATATGATCGAAACGTAAAGATCCCTCCCAGGTAGATGCACTGATCAGCACTAACAAACACTCTCAATTTCTCCAGTAAAGCTCCAGATCCTGGAGCCACGTGATTATGAAAAACACCACAGTTTCATTTAAAATCAATTAAGTATATTCCCAGCCCCAAGGGGATGGAGTTGGGAAGGCATGAGAAATGAGCCCATGAGCCTCACATTTCTCAAATTAAGTGTCTAAAAACCCTACAGAGTCCTTTAAATTCTTTTTTGAGTCATCTTCATGACACTTTGCAGTCTCACTTGTGATTTTTCTGAAAACTTAAGAGCTAGCAGTAAAAATGAAGCTGTTAATCCACCCATCAAGGGGTTCTGAAAACACAGCCTGTGGCAGTGTAGCTGACCTGGCTGGTGGTGCCAGGACAACTGTGTACATAGCAAGGGAAGAGTCTTCTGTATTTTAACTAATATGGGGATTTTGAGCAGAAAATAAGACAAGTGAGTCTGTTAACTAGGAACCAGAAGCCTCAATCCCCACGGCTCTGGTACACATCACACTTTAATCCAACCCTTGGCTTCCTCTCCAGCCTGATTATTTCATCTTTCTTGTGCAACTTGTGTTTGATTATGGGTTTCTCAGCAAAGACTTTCTTGTCACCCCACAGCAGCATAGCCAGCTGTAATCCAGTTTCCTTGTCTTCAGGTGCCTAAAAGTGTTGCTCAGTGATCCCCATGGTAAATAACAATAGTTTTCACGACTCTGCAATGTTACGCTAGAGACCTTTGACCTCAGGGTACCGTTTAATAACAAAGGATCCCCTGGCCCTGCTGTCAGCAGCCAGAAGATGACATTTCTTTGAGGTATCTACCTCCAAAATTTTCCTATATGTAGTGTTATATCACTATTTTGTTCTGCCTGAGCAGCCTTAAAAAAGCCAAAACATCTGACCTTAAAGTAGTTTTAAAATTTATGGCTCCATGTGGGAGTAAAGAAGCCATACCAAAATTTGGGAGGATGAGCATTGCTATGTCGGTTTTGGCCTAGTATTAGAAGGAGGAAGTGCCTGCAGCATCATCAGGAAGTCACTTTCCTCAAATCCAGCCCAATTTTGGCATATTTGGGAGGTTTGGAAACTACAGACAGCTTTTATATGACTTCAGTCATGTGGAAGTAGGAGGGCAGGGAGAAGTCTGGCTCCAAGGTACTTGAGAGTTTCCTCATTGCCTACAAATGATCCAAGTTTTATAGAACAAATGTTGCACTTATCTATGTAATAGATATGTCTGCCTGTCGGGCTGCTAAGTCTCCGGCTCTGTGCATAAGACTGACACAGTCTGCTGCTATGTGTGCATCTCTGAAGGCCAATGCAAGGCTGTGGCTCTTCTCTCATATCTCAGTGCCAGGTATCACTGGCCTTGCCTGTTGCTCAGAAAGATTTTTTTTCTTCTTGCATTAACAGCGCTCAGGAGGGGTTTTGCTAGGGTGGCTAGGACATCTGCTTTCAGAGAGAGATTGTCCCTTCTCTCGATGGCATAGACTCTTTTCTCTGGCATATATCAGTGGCCACTTTCGATCTTCTACTAGCAGTCTTGTGCTGGCCATAACATGATGAGAAGCTTTTTGTGTCATGGGGTGATGCATCATAAGCAGCCTCACAATCACTGAGCACTGTGGGAGGACTTGAGGACTCGGCTGATCCCATTGGTCCCCTGTCCCTAACAAATACTGCAAAGACAGGCTGGGCTTGCAGCAGGGAAAGTGGTCATCCCATGCTCTCTGCTCTGGTTTTCCCAACAGGGAGCACCTTGACCACCTTCTTCCAGTTGCAAAGCTCAAAATGACAGGTTTTGACATCTAATACTGCATGAGTGATTGGGGCACCGTGAAGATACCCAACTCCTGCAGCTATCAAGAGAGATGGTCTTCCAGCAAAAGTCCATTACACTTGATAGCAGCCCCCTGTAAAGCTCTCTGCTCTGCCTACAGCCCAAAGATATCTCTCTTCCTTAATAATTCAACACCTCTAAATGTGCACAGTAAAGATTTTGCTCCTTTCCGCTTCCCACAGGGACTTTGCCTCCAAGGCAGCCAGTAGAGATCTCTCAGCATGGTAACGCTGCCTTTTACATGCAGGGATAGCGGTGCGTTCCTGTAGCCACATTGGTGGGAGCAGGAGAGCAACCCCCTGGGCCAGCTAACCCTTTCCAACCCCTTGCTGCGGCGTGGGGCTTGGGGTAGATCAGTGGGGCAGGGGTTTGCAGGGCTTCCCATAGCTGATGGTGCTGAGCTGATTTAATGTCTATGATTCCCTCCCTCCCACGACTGCTCCCAGCTGGGCCAGCATGCCGAGTTAGAGACTCTTGTTCCCAGCAAAGGGTATAGTCTTGCCAGGTATATAAAGCCCTCATTAAGGGAGGGCTGCTTATCTGCTAACCCGCAGTGGAGACTGCGACATGCCCTTGGTTATCTCTCTGTCCTGTGCCTGCTTCCCAACCATACCAAGCAGCCAGAGCCAGAGGGTTTGGCTGTAAGGAGCATGCATGTGCACACGTAAACGCGCTCCTTCCCAGAGGCTGGCCAAAGGCTGTATTATTTATACACCTCCCACATTAGGCTCTTGGCCTGAAATGCAGTCATCTGAGGAAATTTAATTAGGTAGCAAGAAGCAAGCGGGGGGCACAGGGAGTTACAGAGTTGTAAAGGGAGAGAAAAGTAGTTAGAAGCTAGCCTTCCCCTCCTGGCAGGGAAGATGCCTTAGCTCACTGCTTTCTCTACATCTAAGCACTGACAGCTTTAGGGACCCTGCTCTTAAACTTTATCTTTGTCCTCATTCACTTATTTTTTTTATTTCTCTTAAATTAATTCAGTTGCATATGAGGAAAGTCTGGAAGGAAGCTGAAAATCCAAGCTGCCCAAAAGCTGACATCTCCAGCACAAGCAGGAGCCAAGAAAAGGGCAATGCGGACCTGTTCCTCGCCACCAACTGCAGCCTGCAAGAGAGGCACTTTAGGCATTGCTGCAAAGTGCTCCGTGTGGCTTCACTGCTTTTATGAAATTCCCATGAAAATCAGGAGTGCTGGGAGCTGGTAGGGGACACCCTAAATTAGCATTCCAGCTGAAGGAAAGGCCAAGCTTTGTTAGTGCACCTGCCCAAGGAACAGGCTCACCTGCCCCAGGGAGAGAGCTGCTATCCACAAACCCCCGGGGGCAGGCAGGGCAGGTTAGATATGGGCTGGAAACTGCCGGATCTGAGCGCAATTGCACAGGGACGCTCCTTCGGCTCAGAGTCCTTCCCCGTAATTGAACTAGAGGCAGCAGAGGGGTTGGTTCCACTGCAGGGAGGAGCTGGCTCCCCCCACTCCCCGGGCAAGCTGGCCTTAAATGGGGCACTTTGAGTGTGCGCAAAGGATGAGGGACACCTGAAAAGCAGCATTGGGATGGGGTGCTCTGCGTGCACAGGGTGCTGCGGTGCCGGGGTCTCCTCTGAGCTGCTTCAGGCTAGCTCAGGCAGCAGGTTGCTGGAATGATGGTCTGCTGGGTTTCTGCAGGAAACGCCTGTAAAAAGGGGCTGAGCTGAGGTGCTGGGCTCTCGCTACTGACCTCGGAGCAACAGCAATAGCTATTTGATGGGATGACTCTCACTGAGCTCAGCGTAGTAGGGGGTTGGGTGCGAGGTCGGGTATTTTCCAGAAAGAGAGACAGAAATGTTGACATCTTCCAGAACTCCCCTAGTCGTCAGCTGGTACAGCTGACTCATTTTTATCTTGTTTTGAGGACTATGTCTGCCTCTGTGCCTCTCCTCTCCTTTCTTCCACCTGCTCTTCCTCTCTCCCCACCCTGCGTCTCATCTTGGCAAAATGACACACTTTTGTCCATGCATGCACCAATGCCACCTCTTGCCAGTGCCCCAGGGTGGTTTTGTTGTGTGCTATTCAGGAGATAAGAGCCAGCCTTCTCCATCCCTCCTTACATCAGCATCTCCAGAAAATTCTCATGGCACTGCAGGGAAGTCTTCTTCATCCCTGTAACACCTGCTCCCTCCTCCTTCTCTAGGAAATGCCTTAGTGATCTCCCTTCCTTCCTTGCTCAGATTTCTTGTCTGGCCTCTCTACAGCCTCTTGCCATGATCTGGCTCATCTCAGTGCTGGTCTCCCCTCTGTTCCCTCCTCTGTATTCTCCAAAACGCCCACAGCAGCTGCCGCAAGTCCTTTGCTGGTGCTTTGTCCCCCTGCCTTCACTGCAGCATGTTCCCTCCTCATCCTCTCCCCCTGTCCCACCAGGCTTGCAGGCAAGGTGGGGAAGCATCCCACAGGTGGGCTGGCAATTTAGCTTGCATGTGGTGAGAAGGCCAACGTTGTAATGTGCGGAAGAACATTTCAACGAAGGCTCTACTGAGGTACCTGCAAGCTAGGTCTTGCAGCCCTAGCTAGGAAGTAATATTATTACCCCTATTCCAAATAGTCTTAATTGCTCACCCCAAATTTTTCTGGATTAGGAATGCTTTTGCTGGGTGCCTGTTTGTTCCACCCCTCTGCAGATTCCCTCCCCTCAGAAGGGATGGATGACGCAGCTCGGCTTGGAGGGGGGCTGCTATCGGAGCCCCCTTTCCCATCAACAGCTCCAGCACAACTGGAGCTGGGAGGCCAAAGCAGGGATGAGAGAATTTCATTGCAGCTGGGAGCATGGCTATAGTTGCTTCATGTGACTTCTTTCATGAAGGAAAAGTGGGGTGGGCTTTCTGCTGAGCTCTGGCACTTCGATGCCCCCACTGAAATCCAATAGCCATGCAGAAATGACAGGGGGGACAGCCTTTCCCGAGCGATCTCAGGATACTCTTACTCTTTCTTGTCCCAGTGTGTTAATGAGAGCTGCTGCAGGGCTCCAGCTCTGCAGCTCGTGGGCCCGCGCGTACCCGGCGTTATCTTAATGAGCATGCTTATCGCAGGATCTTTTCCTTGAGAGCAGCACGCAAGCAGCAGGAAGGCAGATTGTCCCAAAGGCCTTCTCCAATAGCCCTTTCACTCTTCACTTTCCCCTCCTCCCTGTCCCTCCATCTCAGCTTGCTGGCTCTGCCTCCAGCCAGCTTGGCTCCAGCCGACTTACGTGCGGACGGCTTGGATGAGCGTGTCTATCCCGTCGTGCTGTTTATTGCATTAAAGAAGAGCAAATGGAGGGAGATGCACAAACATAGGCAGAGATGCAGGGAAGCACTGGAAAGCAGACATGAGGAGAGGCAAATGAGCAGAGAAATACAGATGCACATAGATGTGGATATTGGCACTATGCAAACTAAGCAATCACGGAGAGCCAGACAGGCATCGGTGCTAAAGGTGACTTGCAAATGTGCGTGCACATGCAAGCAGGCACATGGGCAGAGGACAGCTGCAAATGCCTACAGAATGGGAGACAGATGGACAAATGCAGGCAGAGAAAAACACAGGTAAAGCGGCACAACGGTAGGGAGAGCTGCAGAGGCATATGGTGAGGGAGACAGGGCACAAGCTATTGTACAGTGAGTGAGGGCATACATGCAAGTGTTGCATGACCCCTTTTTCCGAAGGAAGGGGCAAGTGGCTAGACAAGTCTGTCCTTCCCCCTTCCTGCTTGGCTAAATGCAGATTCCAGACAGCAGTTGCTTTCAGCATCGAGACCCACCCAGAGCAGTCTCACTCATTTATAGCCAGTTTCCTGCCCTTGGCTGCCTTACAAAATCTTGCAGCAGAAACTATGATGAAAGAAGTTTTTGAATGCTGACCTGCACAAGCCCAAAACCAACAGCCCAGAAATGCAGGCTCATTAATAGCTCCTTGCATAGTGAAGAGAGAAAGTAAACCCCTTTCTCAGTTAGGAAACTTGAGGCTGTCTCCTGGTTGGAGCGGTTGCTTGGAGGCTGGACTCCAGACTCTTGTTACAGACTTGACCAGCCTAACCCTTTTCCTCTTGGCTCCTTGCTCTCCCCCACCCATCTCCCCTCCCTTCCCCAAGACTGAGAATGATAAAGTCCTGCTCGCCGTTGAGAACGTTTATGAAGTCTCTTTGTAATGGGTAAATGGGTTTGGCGCAGCACAGCTCCAGACTGAATGAGAGCAGTTAACGGCACTGCATGGAGGCAGCCTGCATGGACCTCACCTCGGCACATGGCCTCTTCCTTTTCTGGCCATGTGGATGGGCAGCCAAATCAGTGTCACTTGCTCTGACCCATGAAGGTCTGCTAGTGGTCACTTCCTGGAGACGTTGGCTTTATTCCTTGGACCAGTGGAAGGTTTTTGGCACGGGAGCCAAATCAGTGAATGGAAACATCCTCCCTGCAAGCTACAGTGACATCCTGCTATTGTTGGCATCCCTTGGCCAGGTTTGTTCAGCTGCTTTGTACCAATCGACGTCTCCGGGCTTTCATCAGCGGGTCACTATCGCCGTAAGGCACATGGGCTTCCTGACATAATGCCCAAGGAAAGCCCTCTTCTCCTGTTTACGATCAGGATGTGAAAGTAAAGGAAGTAGAAATGCTACTCAGGAATCCACTCCGGACTTTAATCACTACTGTCAATGCTAGAAGACTTGGGAAATGTTGAAAAATGATCACCATCACTGTGTAATAGGATGCAGATGTTCAGGTTGTAACCGATCCAGCTATTATTACCTCTTGGCTACTGGAAGACAACACCTAATCAGAACTCTGGAGCTGAAAAAAATTGTTCCTACAAGCCTCCAAGAAACTGGAATTAGTTTTGTGTGTGATGATTACATGTGCTGTGGCTCAGACCAGAACTTTGGTTGGGACAGACCAGACCTAGCTGTTGAAAGTGTGGGATACCCATGATGAGTGCTGCTTGCTGCAGTATCACACAGCTCAGGTATGCTGCCCTGCAGAGGAGGCACCACAGCATGGAGAAAACTGGACTGAATCGCTGTCCACCACTTAGGTTCACCACTAATCTTGGCTGTAAACATGAACCTAGGCTATTTCAGGTTACAAAGTCATGGGGATCTGAAGCCCACAGTCCAAAGCTGTCTGTGGCCTTTAAAAACTGAACATTGTATTAAATTATGGGAGAGTTTCATTTCCAAGTCAAGCTATTATTCCCAGCTGAATCTGCAAGAGCATCTAACTGTTCCCATAGCATTTTGCTTCTTCCCCTGCTCCTCCCTCAGATATCTTTGAAAGGAGTATTAAAGTAGTGAAAGGGAAGTATGCACCCTTCTGTTTAATGAAGGCAAGGAAAAAATATTGTCATCTGGGTATCCATCCCGGTATAACAGCTGCATGTGGGAAGACTGGGGCATCTCCTCATGCGCTGCTGACCCACCGCTGGGACATCACTGTAAACTGAGCTCTGGCAGCAAAGAAAACCTGTGGAGGTGCTGTTCCCGCAGTGCCAGCTCCTTTCTCCAGCGCACAGCTCACCTGCAGGTACAAAAAAAATTCAGCAGGGCTGCAACTGTCTTGGAAGGGCCTCTGATAGAACAAGAAAATCAAAATGATACTGTAAGCTGTACTGCAGTATGTATTAACACACACGTACCCGTTATGTATACACCCACCCCCATCTCCCTTTGGAGGGGAGTGAAGGGATTAAGTCCCTTCCTTTCTGTGCGCGCTGGCTCTTCTCACCCCTTGTTTCTCTTTCCCACGCTGCAGTCAGTTCTCTGGAAGTCGCGAGGGCGGCTTTGGAAAGAGCAGAGGAAACTGCCTTCTTCGAGAGACGGTTATAGTCCTGCCAGGCCCCTGGGACGGGAGGAGGTGAAGCCGCATGGTCCTCCTTCAGCTGTAGTAATGACTCTTTCCACAGCTGCAGGAGAGCTCAAGGGGAGGGAGGGCGTGCGGACGGACGGAGCCTCCTTGGCTGGTCAAGCAAGCTGGTCCTGCCCCCTGCCCTGGCCTTATTCTCTTTTAACTTAACTCATGCTCTCTTCCTACGCTTGTTATGTCTGGTGGTGTCTCCACCGGTGATCTCGGGTGGGGAACCATGAAGCCGCATTACCTATGGGGGCAGAGCAGCGCCGGAGACAGCTTCGTATGCTATCTTGGGAAGAAGGTGAGGAAGCAAGACGGAGGCAATCTGGACTAACTCGTGCATCTTCCTGGGCATCTTTGAAGTTCCCGGTAATGACTGATATGCCAGCCAAAAATACCAACTAAGCAGCACAGGCACCTTCCAATCTGTACACTTGTCATCAATGCAGACAGCTGTTGCAAATCCAAAAATAGCAAAGTTGGATTTGGATTAATACAGAGAAAAGAGTTTACAATTTTTCAAGAGGATGATTAACAGCAACGCTTGCTAAGGAGTGAGCTTTTTTTTTTTTTTTGTTACCTGGAAGGCTTTTTCTTTCTGCAGATTCTTTCCTACACAAAATAAAAGATAATTTAAAGTAAAGTGACCTGAAACTTGAAGATTCTTTGACTGACATAATACAGAAAGTGCAGCTGGGCACTGTACTGCAGCAGAGAGGGGGAAAAAAGCAAAATCCCACTTTTCTTTGGGGCAAGTACATGTCTGTAAGACCCAGAACAGCCTGAGCCTCAGCCTCATGTTTTCTTTTTTTAATATATCCATCACTTTCTGCCTGCTGAAAGCCTGAGTGAGTAACCATTTGGGAAGCATGGAGGCAAAGGAGCATGTAATCGCACGGGAGCAGAGAACAGAGGCGCTTGCTTTTTTCACCAGCTCTTCTGAAAGCTTCCTGTGTGAGCTGGGTAAATCATGTTGCTTTGACGTACCTGCGTAGGTGCAGATAAGGGTACCAACTTTGCTGGAGCCAGTGAGGCACATTCACCTGCTGTAAAAAGCCAGCAGCATCTGGAAAGCATTAACACATTACAAAGGGAGTATTTTTAAATCAATATTTAGTGCTTTCTGTAACATCTGATCCCTGTGCCGTATTTTATTAAGAAACTGCTCTTTGTTTCAGAATCTGGCAGCAAGCGAGAGAGATAATTTTTTTTTCTGTTTGTGCTACTGGAAACTGCAAACACACAAAACCTCTGCTTAAAACCGAGGGCCCCCGTGGGGTGCACACGCTGGGGAGAGGGCACAGAGGAAGCTGCGGAAAGGGCAGGTCACCTGTGGGAGTTCAGGTGGGGTGTAGCTGAGTTAAAAAATGGGAAGAGCAGGGGAATGAAGGAAATGACACCTGCGGGTGCTGCCCGTTCAGGATGCGTGATCCTCTGCGGGTGCAGGAACAGAGCGACACAGCGCCAGCCCTCGCACCCAGGGCCCTCGGCTCGCTGGGGGGAGCTGCCTTTGTTTTCCTGACAAATAGGCTCTGGGTGCTTGCAAACATGATGGTGGAGAAGCAGAAGCTCCTTGCCCAATGCCTGTGCTTTCAGCTGCCGGCACGTTTGGGTCACCGGCTGCTGTATCATACGCAGAATGACCGGAGGGTAATTTGCCCAGCCGAGCTTCGGCTTGGCTTTCAAACCAGACCTGCCCGCACTGGGTGTACTGGCCACCCTGCAGGTGCCCCTTGCTGAAAGGAGCATTGTTATCCTGCGGAAATGACCTTTGGATTCCAAATGCCTTTATTTAAAATGAAGCAAAAACAACTCTGACCCTGCTCTGAGCAAAAGCAAATTAGCTACCCTTGCTGCACAACTCTAAATACGCTGCAGTAATCTTCCATGCTTCTCTTTCTGACAGGGCAGTGAGTAAACGGTGCTGCGTTAACTCATCGCTGCGGAGGCTCCCACGCAGGTGAAAATGGTAAGGAAAACAGCGCATGTCTCCTCCCTCAGCTTGTATTTATTTTCCCCTCAAAAAAAAAAAAATCTTAGCATGATCCTCAGAGAAGGGAAGTAGTTGTGCTGGTTTCAAACTGTTGAACATGAATCAAAAAGCACCGTAAGTTTGAAATAAATTATTTGAAGTTTTAAAAAACAGCTGCTGTTGTCTCACTAGGGCTTTTCCCCCCCCCCCTTATCCTCCCACTAGTTTCTGACTTTTCTCAGGGATGGCTCTTTGCTGTCGCCCCTTCGGAAGTTCTCGGGAACTCCGCCTCGTCTGCGTTTTGTCAGGGGGGCGCAGATGAACTGTACAAACAACTTCAGGGACCCCTTTGGTCTGGCTGCATTTCTTAACTCGCTTTCTTTTTAGAGCCGCTGCCTCTTTGCTCGGACCTTTGTGCACAAGGAGAACAGAGTGGAAAGGGTCTCCCGGCTGAGTTTTGTGGTGGTGAAAAAGGTGTCTGCTCCTCCCCCCTCTCCCTCCCCTCTGTGGAAGGGCTCCAGCCAAACGCTGGTCTCACTAAAAGATTGTGGCAGTTACTAGGTATTTTTTTGAGCCTTTGCAAGTCAAACCCAGTGACTTTTGTTTCCAGACAAACTTGAAATATTTATGAAGGGCTGGATCACCGCAGCACAGAAGTGGGTACTGTAAGTGGAGCTGTGCTTGGGAATAGCATGCTTCTGTAGCAGCGCCTATCCAGGAAAATCCTAAAAGTCATCAGAAGGACACGGCGCCAGTGGCAGAGACACAGGCAGTCGCCGGGTGCAGCCAGTGCAGCGATAACAGCCCTGGGGCACTGCGCTTCGCTTCACAAGGGCTGGATCACCGCAGCACAGAAGTGGGTACTGTAAGTGGAGCTGTGCTTGGGAATAGCATGCTTCTGTAGCAGCGCCTATCCAGGAAAATCCTAAAAGTCATCAGAAGGACACGGCGCCAGTGGCAGAGACACAGGCAGTCGCCGGGTGCAGCCAGTGCAGCGATAACAGCCCTGGGGCACTGCGCTTCGCTTCAGGACGTTGATGTGCGAGTGGCTGTTTCGGGAAGCGCGCGGGGGCCGCCCAGCGTGGGAGAAAGCCGGAGGAGAGGGCTAACGTGGCGGGATGCTCGGGCGGCTGGCTGCCGGTGGGATCGCTCTGGCAGCAGACTGCCAAGCGTAAACCAGCGCTTCGGGCTCCGACTGCAGGGCAGGGACGCGCCGTGATCGATCGTGCCAGGCCGCGGGGGCTGCCCTGCTGCCCGACCCGAAATAGCGCTCAGCGGCCCCGGGGAAGTGCTACCGGACCTGGGTGGGCCACTCCTTCACGTCTAGAGAAGGGAAGAAAATAATTTGGTTAACCACCGACCGAAATAGGGAGAAGGAGCCAAAAGACGACTGCATTCCTGGTGCACGTCAGCAGGGCTGAGGCGCTGAGCCTGCAGCACTGGGCTCCTCGCTAAGGCAAGGCCACGGTGCAGCCCTCCGCTCTCGGACCTCCTGGGATAGGCCAGCCAAGTCGCTGGGGGGGGG